TCTGGTTATGTATTGTTTAATTAGACCACAGAATATTACCGACCCACATATATGTTTGAAGTTTACCTAAGTATAGACAATAGTTTTATAATATGTCTCTTTTTCTTGTAGAACAGTCTAAGACAAGATCTTGACTATTTTTTATGCCAAGCTTTGCAAGGTTTTAATGTGTGTTCTTTGATCATCAATCATCATTATAGTATCATTATTATTCATACATCATACAATCATATCATCTACAACAATAAAACAAATGATTTTAATGACAAAAATACCAGTATTAAAATAAGATTGATAGAGCAATCGTTAGCTTCAAGATTGTTTTTATTGTCATATTATATTTTACAAAAGCTTTCACGTCCTTACAATATTGCAAGTTCAATGCGAAAGAAATCTAGTGAATTAAGGTTCACATGTTAATGCACATTATCGCACTATATAAATACAAAATCGATGTTATATTGCGCGATAGGTGCACGTATTAATATATTTAAAAAATCAACGTTAACGTGTAGGACACGGTAGCTCAGTTGGTTAGAGCAACAGCACGGTGTAAGCCATTCCCTTGTCGTATAATAGTTTTAAATTTAAAATCGAGTTTAAATCAAACGAAACAAAACAGAGAAAACCTCTTTCTATCTGGCTCTTCTTATTGTATAAAGGATGGTACACAATATAAAAATATATATATAAATAAGAAGAGCAATGCAAAAAACCCTCGTGGAACATGAAGGTCGGCCATAAAAATTGGCATCCAGTAATAATCTCGGTGGCAATTTCGCCTTTACTCGTTCGTTTTACACCTGAATATTTTACATATGTATTAAACCAAAGGGATTTATTTCACTTTTTGTTTCCGCCTAGCCTTTAACGACAGCACTTTGAAATTACGAAATCGCAATTGAATGAAAAGCACTTATTACTCCAATGCACAGGTTTGTGTTTATTCAATCGTTTGGACAGATATGAAGTAATGTGTGTGGCAAATTAAGTTACGTTCTACGCAAATTAAGTTACGTTTAAAAGTAACTACATTTATTTCAGTTAAACATTTATTTCAACTTTTATTAACGTACATTTTTATTTGTCAATAAAATAAATACATCACTGGTCCATTACACCATAATTTCAGTAAGGTGTAGAACAGTTTAGCGTATACTCCCGAGTTTCGGGTACCAGAGACTGTTGCGTATAACAGTTCGGAAAAGTATACGTGAATGTATTTGCTAATGCTATGCTGTGATGTGATAACGGTTAAGATTAAGAGGGAGGCGAAGTAACCAAACCCAATGAGTGCTGTAGTGCAACTGATTTATTTCCTATTAATATTGTTTTAATATAATTTACAAGAAAGTGGAAAATACGACGCTCACTAAGCTAACCTTGTAAATTTCCTTTTAATATAAACATTGAAGTGAGCACGACGCTGACATAGATTTAGAATTATGCTAGCTATGCTATAAAATAATATTATTATAAAAATAAAGTAAATTTGTACGGGCATTTGTCCGTACAAATGATTTATACTTTAGTGCATTCATTTTTATAAGAATTTACTGACTCAAGTTGATCTAAAGAAGGTAAATCTAATAAATCAGCAAGTAAAAGCTTAAGAAGCATTTCTAAGCTATAATACATTTAACGAAATTAAAGTAATAAAACATATACCGAACATTTTCTTGCCGAAAATGTGAATAATAATAGGTACAAATATAAGTTAGAAACATTTCCAATCTCTTTACACGGCACTTTAAATTAATTCTAAAGTGAGCTACCAACAATAAGCACGGTAGCGTTGGCTCTCGACGACTTTAAAAGCTTTGCTTTCAATGAAAAGTTCTTAAGAAAACTTTCTCCGATAAAATTACCTTACCTTTTGCCTTTGTTATATACGTGTTACTTTAATTGTTTTAATACAGAAATTCCTTATTACCTATTTTGTAAAACCTTAAACCAAAAATGCAGGACCATTATTAAATAAATTATAATCTGACTAATACTTCAATAGATCGACTTTTGTTTAGTTAGATACGCTGATATTGGTTAAATATGACTAATATATGCGAGAAAACCATGTGCAATCTTGTTTTCCATAATGTTTGAGAACAGAGCAAACTGTTTAATAAGTTTAGTGCAGTTTCATAACAATATGAACGCAAACTTCTGTATATCAAACAGAAAAGGATATCGATATCGCTGGAAGGAGTTTACTGAGTATAGCAGTTCATAGAATAACATTTTAAACTATGCACTATGCGCTATATATCGCACTGATTGAATCCCTCAAAGTTAGTATGTATGTTAAAATGTAGTACAAACAGTTGTTATAACAACTAACAAGCACTCGTGTAAAAGCAGTAGAAAAACACATTTTTGCCTTGGCTATTGTTAAATGATTTAAATAATTATAAAGTTTGTCTATTCGGTGAAAGGCATCGTCCTCTTGCCTACCTTTAAATAATTCAGTTTCTACTGACATAAAGGACCAAGTCGACTACGTCTAATGGATTCAAAGCTTTAAAATTGATAAAAGCAGAGAATGGATTGTAAATCTAATAAGCATCAATTACAATGATGGCCAACTTCAAAGCATTTCTTACACTCAAAATTACCATATTGATCTTTTGTAATAAAATGACTTTATAGGTGTAGAAATAATATACTTTGCTTTGTGAGGCGTTTCAGAAGGGACACTAAAGGCTTTTTTTCTATGACAATAACTTGCAACAATCTTTCATATTATTCAAACATTTAACTAAATTTTGGCATAAGGAGAATCTTCTTATAAAGAAAAAAGTTACTAAGAAATATTATGATTTTGAAATTGGTAACAAACGCGCCAATAGTACTGATATAAGTGGGTAAGTTGAAAATTACAGCAGGGAATACATAAAAATCAGAGGCTGTAATTTTCAAACACGTATGTCATACGACGTTTTATAACATATTTACGAGGAAATTAAAAAAACTCTAACTTAGTTAATTAATTGTTAAAGCAGTTATAAGCGATGCGCGCGCATCAACGTTTTTTTAGGCAAAGGTACAAAAACAGCCAGTATTACTAATAAAGTAAATTAATATTTTTGTGTTTTTGTTATAGATAAATGGTTGTAATTGATTGTCAAAATTAATTAAATTAAAGAATTAAATGTTTATTTTTTATTGTTTATTTCCCAAAGTTAATTTTATTCATAAAATATTGACCACTTTCTTCACATAAAACCTCTTGGCTAAGATTTTTAAGAGTATCGTTCATTTTTAAACGGAGTATCTTAAAACTTTATTTTAAAAAAACACGTGCCTTTTACATTACATTATCGCACAAGTACGTAATGAGATACATTACGATATTGAAATTTGTGTAATTACAACCACTTTACGAGCAAATATGTTATAAACATATATTACGTAATGGCATTGATATTTCTATATGACATGACAATGTTTCTTTAAAGATGTTTGTCATGTATTACATTAATTAATAAACGATATATATTTTTTATTTTATTATACCTAGTCTTGCCATAAATATTGTAACAAAGAAAAACATGTTTTTTCTATTGCTTAAACATCTATTATTTTTACAAGGGTTAGTTTAAAACTCAAATATATAACAAGTTAAATATATAAAACTCATTCAAAATAATCTCAACTGGCTGCAGTACAGTCCCTTAAACGTTGAGACCGAATATCAATAGCAGCACGCACTCTTGTCATGGGAAAATTTAAAATTGCCAATCGTATGGATTGTTTTAGTGACTCCTAATTATGATTGCTTTTAGAGCAACTTGTTTCGATTGGACTACCATATTCTTTTTCTAAGAATTCTCTCGCATACTATTTTGAACACCTTTTTCGTACGAACTACACGGAAGACCCGATCTTTTTCTGTTACAAATGGAGGAGGTCTCATTGTACCTATTATTAGTGCGGTATACAAACATTTTATTTATACCGAGCCTGTGGAGAGTTGCAAGAATTGCATGCATTCTACTCTCTTTATCACCAAAATTTATAAGTACCAAAGGAGAAAACTTATTGAACAATAAAATAAAAATAACAGATTCCAAATTGAAATAAAATATTTTGACTCTTTTTTAATTGTAACGGTATTTATGGCCAGACGATCTTTATCAGTTAGACATAAGCCTAAGATCAAAATATATGCTGTAAGACCTTCGACAGTAAGCAACATTTGCCACAATGCGATTAGTATTCCGGAAATGCAAGCATAAATCGTACACCCACAATTTGCATTACATAAATCATCGAAGCTAAAGACTGTGACTAATTTGGCTCGCATATGAATATTGAGGAATTCAGGAGCCAGACATAAGTGTATATGTACTAGGGTATACTTTGATTTTGCGCAAACGCCTCTTCTATACATAATATAATAATCGTTAATGATATTAAATCATTATTAGAAAGGAAAACAACTTTATATTAACAACACTATCAAGACATTACAGTTAAGGAAACGTTAATTTTTCTTGTCAGTATTAGTACGAGTTTACAGATCAAACAAACAAAAAAAAAATAGTGTAAATTGAAAATAACTATTGATTTAGTTTTAGTAAAAATAAGTTTTTTCATTGAAGATCGGTAGTTGATTGTTTAAAACTGTTAAGCTTTTATGAATTTTTAAATTCATCTTTAGTATTGTTAATCAATTATTTAAATAACATTTTGTTTGAGTGGTTTTTTGTCATAGATAGAGTATATAATCTGTGCCATTGTTGACAAAATGAAAATACAGCTGTCAAAATTTTACGTGACATTTTAAAATTGAAATACAGACTTCATTTGGTAATTGTTAACATCAAAGTCAAAACAGTTACAACTTTAAGGAAGTTTTCATAATAAATACTTAGTTTTTCATTTCAAGTTAAAGTTAAGCTAATTATAAATTTCGGATTCCTATATATATTTTATTGTGCGTTTAAGAACAAAATATAGTGACAAAACTATCCGTTTTATCTTTCTCATGGTAAATCGTCATGGGTTGTTTAACTTGCATTCGAGGTAAGACCAAGACATCCATGTTTGTGGGAAAATTCGTAATTAATTTATATTTAATAACATTTGCTATTTAACTTATTACGTACAATTACGCCAATCATGGAAAATTGTATTGAAAATACAAACTTCGTTGGTGTTTATATTGTCTTAAAATGTTTAACACATAGGGTACACAGCGATAAAATATTGTTTAACTAACGTTTCAATCGTCATTACATAAATTTGTGTTATTCAACTGTTCAATTTATATTAATGATTAATAATTCTCTACTCAAAGTTCCTAGTGGGGGATAAAAGACTATAAATAGATGCTGTTTATGATAACAAATACTAATTATCAATGCTTAGGGAAGTGATTACTGCGCGAAAATGTTATTTTCCTATAAAGTGAAGGACATGACATCATGCTAAAAATAATTAAATAGTAATATTTAATTAATGATCTTATCTATAATCCATTTCTCTGTGAAAAATGTTGTATTTTATCTATCATCATCTTGTAAGATGAACACTCTTTATTACTGATTGCCTTATTGCTTTCATATCTATCATTTCTAACGTCAAGAAATTAATTTTTAAAAAGCTGTCCACATTAATTTTTCTGTTTGTTTAATTAGAATTGCCATGACAAACAATTTTATTCTACCAGCTAAAAAAAACTTTTTACTCTTATATTAAACTTTGCTATTAAAAAAAAATAAGCCAGGGTTGAAATCATTAAATTTTTTTATTATTTCCAGGTCTGAAAGTTACATTTCCCTTTAAAGACAAAGAATTGAATAAGATAGCTGCATTTTTTAATTTGTGTACATTTATGCTGACTTGTGCAGCATTAGTCCAACCAAGTTGGTTTAAAATCAAGGGCCTACATTGCATACAAAGTCTTTCCCTGTCCCAGTTCTTTACGTTTGATGGTGATGATGAGCCAGAGATATCTATTCATCAGAACACGGATTTATATGGACATTTTAATATTATGAGCGGATCTGATTATAATGGTAAGTTTGCGTAATTTTTTAAATGTCGCTATATATTACACAATAAGTACATTTTGTCTGTCTCAATTCTTTATAACTATATATTATTGTTACTTTGGCTTTGAAACAAAGACCATGCTTTAGGCAATGCAATGCATCATGCACTGATTATTAATGAACTATTATAGCAGGTTTAGTTCTACTGGAATAATTTAAAAAGTTCTAAAATGTTTTTTGCTTATACGCTTTTACTGTATATATCAATTTCTAAAATGCAATAGCACATGCCTTAACACGCATTATAATTCATTTCTTAGTACACAACACACACACAATTACAATAAACCAAAAAAAATGTATGTACTATGGAATGTACCAGGCAGCCTGACATTTATTAAGCAATCTCTTTCAGGCAACCCTTTCTTTGTTAATCATGTATACATTTTTATGTATAATGTTGTAATTTGAGCTATAAAAGTGGTAGCAGCATTAATGTGATTTAAATGTTTGTTATAAAAAAGTCAATTCCAATATAAATATGCTTTATATGCAGTACATTTTAATAGTTTTTTATTAGTCAAAAATCATTCATTCATGTAGGTATATACATTTATGAACGTCACAAAATAATTAAAGAATCTAACTTTACATTTACTAGGAGTTCTCTAATCAAGGGCAAAATATAAGGATTTTCAAATTTTCATGAAGGTTGTTTAAATGCACTGCACAGATATCTTCTGAGAATAATCCAATCAAGTCCAGAAATTGCCACATCAAGTCCCAAATTAACGTCAGTCAATTAAAATTTCAGGTCTACCACCATGCAACACCCCAGAGATAATATCTTTAATGAGGATCCTTATCCTATTATGTTTTATGGTATTATTGTGTTCGTTCATTGGAGTGTTGATAAACATCACAAGTCTTAATAAAAGAGTCATTAGAATGCTGAGGAGGAACGCTGTACCAAGCATAATATGTGTTTTCTGGGTCATCGCTATAGTGGGTGTTTGTTATTACACTACAGTTGTATTGGGAAATGCGAATAGTAGTGATCCGAATACGATACAAGTCGATTACGAATATGGGTTTTATACTATTACAGCAGCCGGTGAGTCTCTATTGCTATTTTATTATACATTTTTTGCCTTTTGTGATTATTGCTTACTAAAAGTATGTTAAATACCTCTTGTGGCTGAGATAAGCTTTTAAGTTTTCCTCATCATTAATTAGAATAATGGTCACTAAGGAAAACACTTAGTGATTAATATAATTATGTGTAAAACCAATAACGTAACATAGTCAAAAAAAGAAATTGTTTTTGCTAGGCCAAATGTGTATAAAGAAAAGAAAAGAAAGAGAAGGAGCAAATATGAAATTCCCATCTGTAGCAACTGAAAACGCTTATATATTAAATGGTGTTTTATAACTTCAGGTTGCACTGCTCTGCTAGCTTCTGCCGCTAACCTATGGGGCGCACCTTTATCCAATGACGAAGACCTGCAACGAAGGAACCTAATGGAAGATTGGGACGGCTATGAAGCCCACGGCGTGGGACCGACCCCATGTGTTCCCACTTTACCTCCTTACACACCTAACGCGAATTACCCTAGTGGATTTTCATCGGTACATCCCACATTTGCGCCACCGGTTCTTGGTGCTCAGCAGTATTTCCCATTCGATGATTTGTCTGCTTTACCCCCACCTCCCCCATACAGTCCCTAAAACAGACACTTTTTTTAGAATAACATGTCATCTGATGCCATTGATAAGACGAGTATATATCCTATTTTGCAGTCCATACATATGCAAGGTTGCTCTTTCATTTAATTTAAAACCTTGCCACTATGAGAATCAGAATAATATAGGAGGGTCTGCTGTCTGCATCATCCCTAATTATTTTTGTATGTCTGGTCTTTAGAGCTACTTACTCTAAATTGTCTCTTTCAAAGTAACATTTCAACCAAGAAGTTCCCTTATCCCCACTGGACAAGATCTAGGCTCCAAGTGTACCACCACCCATAATAAGTATTTTTGCCACAAAATTATATTGTATGAGATTTGTTTTTGGAGCCTAAAGAAGTATTTATATTTCATAACATTACAGACTAGCATATATGTTTCTAGGTTTTGTTTTACTTTTCCACCATATTGTTTTTTTTTTATACAGGCAGAAAACGTGATTTTCTCGTTGGATCCTTTATTAGCAGATCTATGTATATTTACGCGGCATAATACAGACTCCTCCCTTAACCCCATTTATACTATCTTATCACTACAATATCATCAAATGCTTTACAAGATATTATTGAAGACCATTGCCACACAAAGCAAAGGCAAATATCAAACACAATTGTGTTATTGGGTTCCCCCTTTTAACATAATATTAATTAAAAGTTTAAACAGTCAAACTATGGACCAAACAAATTTTACAGTCCAAATATAAAATAATTTCCAAAAGCAAGTCCAACAAACTGATGGTAGCGTCAAAATCCCTTGAATTTGCCGACATTTATAAGCAATAAACGCGCCTTTTAGCTTAGTGTATCAAAGAGATTGTGATATAATCGTAGAATATAAACCCCTCTAGAATATCTATGTATAGAATGTGGCATGTATTTTATATCTCAAAATTATCGTTGGTTGCCTAAATATTTCTAATTAGAAAAATATTTTATTTAAAATGTATTTAGTGCTAAGCGGTTGTGAAGTGATCGTCTTGGGAAATACGCCCTCTCTAAGAAGACAATCGGTTCGTGTGTATAATCCACTACGTGTGTTCTTGGAATCTCCTTGAATTGTACTTTACTAAGTCAATTTATAACAAGTTCTATTTATTCCTATACTTGCAATTTATTTATTTTATTGCAATGTTAAAATCCATATTAACTAAGCCTAAAAAATACCTGCTATCTCTTGTACTTCGCAAATCACAGTAGCTGTTTCTATGATTATGGCCTAAAATGTGGCCTTTGGTTGGCAGTAGTGGTATTCATGAAATCTAAGAATCCCTCTTGCTGAATGGGCCCTATTACATGCTGGTCACATTGTCATGAGAATGATTAAGCTTTTCTGGTAGGAGGAATAATTTTGTTCCCTTTTAAAACTAAATGCTGGGCATGTTCCACGCACATATACATCAAAAACAATAACTTTCTATCAACGATTTTCTGTAGGCTACAACATTCAGGAGTTTTTAAAACACCATTTTTAGAGTTTATATCAGATTGAGATTTACTTCTAAACATCACAAAATGATCTTATCTTCGAGATCTGGTTGACAAAAATATCTTTACTATAGGCATAATATAAATTTTTGTGTATATTTTATGTTACCAAAAATGTCTGTTATCATTACTTAATATTAAAATATTTGTTAGCATGTACTTTATTTAGGTTAAGAGTTATTCCTAATGAGTTTATTGGGAAATTATTTTTACATTTCAATATAAGAGTAAGATTTATTTTTATGTAAAACCAGTATCTAATACAAGTGTAACTTTACAAATGCCTTTAATTTCTTGAAATCTGCAACCAAGTGACATATATACTAATTGTATGTACATTTATTAAATAAATTGCTTTAAGATTAAGGCTTAGACAACAAGGGCTTAATTTTAGGTTTCCATATGAATTGAACAATTTCATATTTGTGTAATTAATTAATAATACCTTATCAAAGTTATTGCATATTATTTTACTAGAGCAAAAACTGTTTCACTACAGTACATAATGATAATGATTACCTATATTTTCACCTTTTGTAGATTATATTCTCCCCTTACAGTTATTATTTATTTAACAATTCCTTTTAGCTACTGGGAAAATCTTGAACATTGCCTATCAAAACACCATCTTCTTGTGATATGTTAAGATACCGAACTCTTTCCTTTTCTAAAAAATGAACTCTCTCTTTTAAAGTTGAATTTTCATCTTTCAACACCTCAACTTGCAGTACTAATTGCTCAACCAATGAACGCAAACTGTGATTTATTGTTTGCAATTCTTCTATTACAACTTTGTCAGTTTTCCTCCCTCTTAAATTGGCTATATCATTTGTATCATTTATCTCTTGATTGGACGAAAGAGCATTTATTAGAGACTCTGAGTCATTTAACTTCCTGTAAATTTCTACCTGTAACTTTGAGGATTCACCAATAGGAATATTGATATGTTGTTCTTTGGCCAGGTTTTTCATATTGTCCATTGTTTTTTTGACGCGTACATATTGCTCTTTTTTGTTCTGTATTAAGTCCTTCTGTTTGAGATGGTAACTGTGCTGTAGGGTTATGGATTCCAAAGCCACAGAAGATGACGTAGATTTCATTGCGTCTAACAATAATTCAGCTGCATTATGGTGGCACTGCATTGCTTCATCATATCGATTGTTTTTCAAATGAGCTTCTGCACGTCTGTGCTGCTGATGAGCCTGAAATATGGATAATTAAGGACAAAAGGTCAGAAGATAGATTATACTTCATATTGATTTCATACTTTATTAAGTGGATGTGTTTCCATAGTTTAAATATAAAATGCGTAGGTAGACAATTTCTTTTTAGATCTCGTAGTATAGTCTCAGAGAATTTAGATTATATTTTTATAAGGTAACACATGACATGGATTGATCCTAAACTGATTATTGTATGAATTAGTTTTAAAACGTTTGTTGTGTAAGCTTTCTTCTGTTTTTGAGATACGAAAATATTTGTTTACTAATCTTCATTTGACACAACAGTTAGTGTCACTGTCACTGTCACGATTTCAGTTTTTTTATAATATTTATGGCCTGGTAACAAGCACGATTTCAGTGATGTAGTAAAAATGACGTGTTTAGTTACCCTACCCACCACAGACAGTTTTTTTTACACTACGTTTTTTTTCGAATCGATTATTATAAAACAAATAACAATCGATTCGAATAAAACGTAGTGTAAAAATCCTGAATATTATTCAATTGCACAATAAAACGTACGTAAATTTCGTGCGATGTTTATAAACAAACCCAAAATCAAAGTACACAAAATCCCGATATGCCTATAACAACAGCCATTGTTTCATTCTATATTGTAATGTTACTTCATTTACAGTAACTAATGTTATCATTCGATACGCGTACTACTTGTTTACGTGCATTTCGTTATACCACTGCAACCATAAAATTACAATAATGTTTCAATTAATCATTACATCGTTATTTATTTCCAATGTTTTTGGATCCCAATCTCAGTGTACAATTTCCGATGTGAAGAATCTTCTAGAAGGTTGTGAACATCTAACTCGGTTGAATATTACCAGTGTCGGAGGAACCATGGTAAACGATCACAACTGCGATGTTTTACTTCCGAAACAAGTATTTCTAGAAGAACCGTTATTTCAGTACCCTCTTGCAGATTCGGTAACAAATCATATTATAATCTAATCTTAAATGACTTCCACCTATTACATCGATAAATGTGTTCTTATATTGCAGAAAAAATTTTACACGATAATTATGGTAGATCCAGATGCACCTCCTCAATTAGATGGGGAATTTTATTTGCATATGCTTAAATCAAATATACCTGTAAGTTATACTTATTAATCACATTTTTTAAAATCTAAAATGGATTTTGAAAATGATAAGTGTCGAATTCAATTCAATTAAATTGACATGTTTTTTAAATCAGGGGCTTGCGCTCAAAGGAAAGGAGAGTGTTAAAACAGTTGGAATTGACTACAGAGGTAGTTATAATTTCTCCATTATTTAAAATTTATTCCCGAATAGATACATATTAAAAAATAAGATGAATTGTTAAGCTAAAAACATGCTACCACAAATTAGTTGCTTGTTCTCTTTTATGCAAAAAGTACTAAATTTTTTACAAAAGAATAATACTATTTATTAATTACATATAATAATTATTCATATAATTATTTTTTTTAGGATATAAGGCACCAACGCCACCTCGCGGCACGGGTCCGCATCGTTACATGTCACTTTTGTATGAGCAATCCGATGGAAATAATTTCTTGCCAACAGTGCCATCTTCCCGCAGTCGGTTCACACTAGGCAACTGGCTGCGAGATAAAAATCTGTGCGGGCCGGTAGCTGCAACGCAGTTCCGAGTTCAATACTAGATGGCGTTACATACAATATTATCTCGGAAATTCAGTACTTGCCAAGAATCGATAAAATAATAATATGATTATTATACGATATTAGTAAGAATTAATAAAAATCTATTTGTATTTACAGAGAGAACAATATTATACATTTTAATGATTATTGGTTAATATATGTATTGTTTTTACGTTTTATTTTGCCCTAAACTTTCCGCGTTTTAATAACGGATCTGAAAAGGCTATTTTAGCATAAAGATATCAATTGAACACGTCAAGGTTTGATGCGCATATTAATTATAAACCCGTAATTTTGACAAAGCGAACTTGAAAAGTAAACTCATTTGAGCGCGTAGGTTGCGCACGCGACACCACCTACATGATAATCAATTCACCGTAGCCTACCTTCTTAGCAATATTATAAAATACAAAAGCAACATGGAAGGTATTAAAATTACGTGTATTAAGAGGAATACAATTTTCTCATAGAGGAAGACTGATAAGCATTTGGTGCAATTGGTAAAAGTCACCACTGTCAGCCATGTAACAACTGAACAAGGTGCGCTGTCGACGTATTTTGTTTTTTTTACGTAGTTAGTCGTATCACATATACTAAATGTATTTAGATGTACCTGTACCAATAAAATCTAAAATATATTTCAAGGACGTACGATTTAATAGTGAGGTTACTAATCACGCTTCAATTGCTTAGAGTGAAACTTAACATCAGCGATCAATTATAAATTAACATAGACGTCTCGTTAAGAAAATGTACCGTTAAAGTCAGCTTTTGATTAAATACCAGAATTTTGAGCAACGCCGAGTTTCCGGTATAGAGGCACACGCCAAACCGGTCGCTACACATTTTCTTGCTATAGAGGGCGATTACTGCTCATAGCAGTCAACGATGGTTCTATTTATTGTCACACACCTAACATGTTGAGATCAGCTTATTTGAGTTTATAAGATATATGTTGATACATATAATCCTAATGGATTGAAAAGTACAGATAACTTTCTTTTCGATTACTGTTATTTTTAGCTTCAATATTACATATACACCGTTGACATTGAACCAAAATTACGACACGGTCGAGATTGAAGCGTTATTAACAGCGTTCCGCGCTGTTGCTCTAACCACTTGTGCTACGCATCGCCAAATATTGTCAACGTATTGATCATACATTAGATTTATTAGATTAAATTTTTTATCCTAACAACAAAAAACCTTTAAAATTAGGATATTTCAAAACACATACATAGAAAAGATCAATTCAATGTCATATCTAGACTTATAATTAATACTATTATTAATGTATAGAGAGTAGATAATATTGTATTCTTAAAATGTTCTTCTACCTGCCTTTAAAATTCATTTATTTTAATTTGCATAAGTCTCAGTTTTTATTAAATTTAGTTAATCTTTATGTAAGTAATTAATTATAAGCACGTCGATTAGTTACAATATGTTACCTTAATATGTATATTCTTTGTTAAATTTTTTCAAATTTATACTTGCACCTCTCGTGCAATGTATAAAATCTAAATTCGATTTTTAATTACATAATGCCATCAAGTGCAATAACATTTGAAAAATACGATAGTTTTCAAAATATGATACCTGCTCACTTTATTAAATTACTAAATTGTAGGATAGAAGTAGACATTTTCTTGTTTCCTAGGTATATTAATAAAACAAGATTGAGAATAATAGCTTTAAAAGGCAGTAAGCGTTGAACGAGCTCTATACATGTAATGCTATTCACGATTCACTAGTTTCCTGTGATAAAAATACAAGTTTGGATATGACAAGGAATGTCTTTAGGGCTTAATAATGCAGATGAAGCGACTTTAATTGGTGATATGACGAACGAAAGGTAAGCTGTTATAGCTTTGGTGATAGGGTTTGGCTTCGTTCGTAGACATTTGCACTTGCAATATGAATGTTAAAAACGATCTTATTTAATGTGATGCTTTTTTTCAAAATCAGGAAAATGATGAAAAAAGTACGAGCTTTTTTTATTGAGTAGTACCTACATCATAAATTCTATCTATCTTGACTCGAAAAATAAGTAAGTAAAGTGTGAAAGTGCCCGTTTTCCACCCGGGAATTGGTCACATTTTAGTGTGTGCACCGTGATTTATTTAATATACAGGCAAATTATTGATCTGAAAGATTAAACAAAAATGTTTTCTAAATATATGAACCGCTGTATCATAATAAATTTGGCAGAACAACTACCTAGAAATTATGTTTTTATACAGACAAGTGTCGGTCACAAGTTACTTAATAGACTTTCAACATATTAGCACTGTCGAAGTATACTTCGCCGTACAAAATGGGTATAAAATGAGCGTATCTTGATTCTTGCGCCGCGTGCTAACGTCGCAGATAGGAACGAACTTAATGGAATGGCTATCGAATCTTATTTGTAAACTATGTTTTAAGAATTTTATGGGTTTATCAACTGGATTTGGTCTTTACGAGCATGTGTAGTGATTAAATTTAATTCGAGAATAATCATGTTTCCATAAAGCTCATGTTGAGTGTTTCTTTAAAAGCAAGCCTTTCAACGAAAATTATTTAACGTTCGAGATTTTATCTAAAATGGACAAGATTCGGGTCCACTCCATGGAAGGTGAAACACTCCAGCCAAATAACGTTTAAACAAGTTATGCTGTCGACCTATTTTGACTTTAGCCATTCGCCTAATCCACAGATTGAAGCTGAAACGCACATTAATATTCGATATTCCTACCACCCATGTCATGATTCATGTTTTAAAATCTAAAACACGGTTGCAAGAAGTCGTTAATATTCTAAAATAAACAGTAGTTTCTTAATCACAAAAAAGTGGGACAATACGTTTACTTGACTTTCTCTCGCAACTTAAAATCGAATTTATAATCATAATCTTGGAATTGATTTTATCGCTTATCTTGGAAGGCTTTAAAATATTAACGTGGTAGCGCTGTGATGAAAAAATCTTTCGATTGTTCAAGTCACGACAAGTACAGTGAAAAAAAATGTATCCTTTTTATATGCAATATCACAATAGTTAACTTAAAGATTCTTAATTAAATTAAATGTTTAAATGAACTAGTAAACCACGCTTAACAAACTCTAATCTGTCATAAGCTATGCTTGGCTTGGTTACTCGAAGCCAAACCTATTTATTATCGCTTGTTAACCGAAAGCGAATCAAAACCTTTCTTGTCGTCGTAACATTTAGTGCAATTAACCTCTGAGCCTAAGTGGTCATGCTGATAATACAACCTTACCCCACTTTTGATACCTAGTCAATGAACACAAAACAGAAATATTTTTAACTGGTAAACGTATTTTTGTACGTAACCTGACATTAAAATTGTGTTGGTGTGTAGTAATTGAATTTCTCTTTTGAGTGGGAACGACTCCTTCACGAAAAGTAATACGATTATTCTATTTCCAACCCAATTTCGAAGCATCCCATTTATATAATATTTGGATGGATGTAACCTTCTTGAAGGGTTTTATTTTTAAAGAGATCGTTAAGTGGTTAACACAATATTATTCAACTCGGAGTAAGAAACGTTGAAGTTATTTATAGTGAATTGCTAACTTTAGATTACTTCCTTTAATTTAGAATGCTTCTCAGCTAAAACTTAACCTCTATTTATGTTTTATATGTTCCAATTATAGTGTTTTCTCTAGATACCCTTATTGCGTTGCGACGGTATCCTAGACCACAACATTTAAAAATACAATGTAACTTTAAATTAAATACATGTTCGAAAATTACATAATATTCGCAATAAAAATACACCTTAAGATTTCTGAAATAAGTAATTTCTACGATTCTATAAAGTGATATCGAATCTTCAACGGCCATCTGAACAGATAATCTCTGATTTATGCCCACGATCGCAATCGGCGGTGGAAAGTCAGACGTTTCCTTCCGGACGCCCACGCGCCACCTACGAACCCAACAAATACAATAGTATTGCATTATGTACTGTCTAATGACAACCATATACTAAGATTGACCCATTCATCCACATGCGAAGGGCCATTTATCAATTCAAAACCCTAATAACCCAAAAAGAAAATAATGTATCTATGGATGAAATATTGTACTTTGAAGCCACAGACCTTGAAGATTCCCAGATCCTACAAGGCTGACATATGTAGACACATACAATTTCATTGATATGGATCTCGTTTTTATTGAGGACCATTGAGCAGCAATAAATAGCAGCAAAAATGCTAGCTGACACCAGTATTGATCTAAAAACTCTGGACTAATTAAGATTGCAAGTAACGCAATCAAATGAATAAGTAAACATTACAATTATAACATCAGCAAAAATGAATAATGGAGACATTAAATTATTTTACCCGTTAACATACTGAATGTGTTGTAACGTTTCGACTCGTTACAACAGCGTAGTAAAAAACTCTCGAGCCAATTAATGCATTAAACGATATCCGTAGAAGGGATTTTTAATTCATAAAATTGTCTTATGCAAACAATGCGGACCAAATAAGATCGCTTCACCGACGCGACGACGTCATAGTTAAATTCGATTGAAGGCTGCACGGAGGCGTCGTAGCAATTAAATGCATTGAATTATGTCCTTTCAAAACCTTAATACGCCTTGTTTATGTTGTCCGATAACACGTAATCTAGAGTAGTTTACTTCGTCGAAGGTCATTTATGGATTAATATACTGTTAGATAAGTAAAACCCTTTGCTTTTTTTTTTTTTTTTTTTTAATTTTGATTCGAGCATAGGCAAGTACTAAAAAGAAGATTAATAAATTAACATTTTTTATTTCAATATCTATACAATTTGATTGAAGCAGAATAGCGACTTCGTCCGCATATAATAGTTATTATGAGATATTTTTTTTTTTGATTTTTGCGCACGACCTTCTTTGCTTTTATAAAGTATAGCTGTCACCCACGACGTCGTCTGCGATCCGTCGTTTTTGCGACTTCATCTCAAAAGATAGACATACACTTTTCGCATCGCAAG